AGAGAGAGAGAGAGAGAGAGAGAGAGAGAGAGAGAGAGAGAGAGAGAGAGAGAGAGAGAGAGAGAGAGAGAGAGAGAGAGAAAGAGAGAGGAGAGTCGATGCGGTGGACGTCGACGTTCCTGCGCAGAGGCGCAAGAGACGGAGACAAACGACCATCGACGAGGTATACAATGGCGACGCTCAACAGCGGGCGAGGAATACATTTTTGCAGTGGGTGTATGACGCGGGGATCCCATTTCGTGCTCTCCGGAGGAAGTCTTGGAGGAGACACCGCAAGGCGGTGGAAGAGTTGCTACGTGGAGTACGGATGGTGTATCCTACTCACAAGGAGATAGGGGGTAGTGGAGTTACTGAGGAGCGCGATGCAGTCGCTAGCATGCTCGCGCATGTACGCACATCATTCCAGGCGATCAGGGCCACCATCTTGACAGATGGTAGGAGGTCCAGAGATTTGAGGCCTATCATTAACTTCCTTGCTGCTGGCAAGCATGGCGCGCTTCTCTACGCCACAGTGTGTCGAGATGCTTCCATTTCTGAGACGGGGGGGGAAATAGTGTTGAGGAGATGGAAGGTCATTTTTAGGTCCTTCCCTCCATGTGACGTTTTGGCGATCTACACGGACTCTGCGTCCAACTACACATCGGCCGCAAAGCTCCTTGCAAAGGACGCGGACCCGCAGCTGCGTCGTATCACGTGGCTCCCGTGTGCCATCCACGTCTGCAACTCGATGTTGTTAGACATAGGGACCCGGGTAGACTGCATTGCCTCGACCATTCTTCACGGAACGGCCTTGGTGCGGTTTATCAAGATTCACGGCGCTGCTCTTCACCTTTTCAGGTTGAAGAGCAAGCGCAGATCTCTTGTTCACCCAGTGGAGACACGATTCGCGTTTGTGTTCTTGATGCTCCTTTGCCTAAAGGAGCGCAGAGACGCGCTTGAGTCGATGTTGCACAATGAGGCTTGGGACAACATTCCTTGGGAGTCTCGGTTGGTCGACCAGGCGGTGTGGGGGCAACAGATAATCCGCGACGGATTGTTTTGGCGGGATGTGGAGTATGGCATTCTGGTCATGACTTCCATCCACCAGTTGCTCAGGAGGTTGGACAAGGGCGGGATGGTCATGTCTCTGGTTTATTCTTGGAGTTGCCTTGTGGTCAATGAGTTGCGACTGTTGCAGGACGGAGAGAGGGTCCCCTCTGAGATAGTCGATGATTGAGTCGATCAGGTCCTCGCCCGTCGCCAGCATATGCCGAAGTCGGCGCACGCCGCGACGAATCTCCTAAACCCTCATAGGCGTCATCTTCGATACTACGACGCAAGGGTGAGGACTGCAGAGGACTTGGAGGTCGTCCAAGAGTGCGACAACTTCTCTCTTGCCCAGAAAGGGGGAGATCGGGCAGGCGCTCGCTACTTGCGAGTGCGTGATCAGATGAGACTTTTCACGCACGTATGGGTCTTCTTTTGACCGACCTTGCCACTAGGGATGCGGAGGCGCAACCATGTAGGGGGGATGACGAGACACCGAGTTGTGCTGCTTGGTGGTAGGAGCACGGAGGTGCATACCCCGATCTTCAGGAGATTGCAGCGCGGGTGCTGCACATGTGGACGTCCGCCTCTCCCGCAGAAAGGAACTGGGCGGAACATGAGCACGTGTGCACGGCGAGGCGTAACAGGTTAGAGTTCACGAAGCTCGTTCAACTGGTTGAGATTGCCACCAATCTCAAATTGTTGGAGTATTCTGAGTCATCTACCGGTTACGTTCTTCCGTGGGTCATTTGGACGCTCTGGATGAGGTTCGATCTGGAGCGGCGGAGGGTTGTTGTGGGGGGCCTGTAGACGAGGACCCAGAGCCCTTGGTTTGGGGAGCGCGACCCCGCGCGTCAGTGACGGAGGAGGAGTTGGCGGCGACCAAACGTCGATTACAGAAGCTAGGTAGTCGTCCTCCTCGTCCAGTATCAGAGGTGTTTGGTGCGAGAGCCGCGGTGCTCCTCCCGTATGAAGCGGAGGTGCCAGAGGAGGAGGTTGTGGATGACGGGGCTCGGGAAGTGCGCGCCGACGCCGTCGACGACGATGACGACTGGACCGACCCGAGGGAGATCGCTTGTCGTGCAGATAAGAGACTAGAGAGAGTCTACTTCGCACAGGGTGGACATAGCACCGAGGCACAACCTCAGACCACGCTCATAAGAGCAGACGATGACCCTCCACGAGGCGCATCAAACACACGTCATGGCACAGGACGTGGTGCAGGGACGTCGCGCACCGGACATGCCACACGGCCGAGGATGGTGTTTGGTGCCGACCGCACCGACGATGAGCGGATAGTGAAGGATGACGAGGCTTTGTTGCGTGTACGTCGTTCGGCGGCGCCTGACTTCAGGACAAAGGCTCAGCCTCTTAGACGGTCGGAGAGGCTGGTTAGCCGCGACGGCACAACCCCACAGAAAGAGACCCCTGGTTCACAGCACCTGGACGACATACAGGGCGATGTAGTGGAGGGTAAGCAGCCTGAGCAGCGCACCACTGCTCAGCAGGAGCCATCACAGGACGTTCCTTCATACTTGCGGACGAGGGACTTCATGGTGGGTGGGGAGGGCACGCCCGGTGGCGGCATTGGCAGACGCCAGCATGTTCGATTGGGGGACATGGCGGACTACTACCCCCATGACACGCAGAGGGAGGAGACTGTGACCCAAGCAGAGTGTGACGCGCAGATTGACGTTGAGGAAGAAAGGTGTTTGTCTCGGATGCAGCGGGCAGGGAAGGTGGCTTATTTGGAGGAGGTGGAGTGCATGAGACGGCTGGAAACCATTGGTGCAGGTGCCGAGAACGACAAAGCGGAGGCTGTGATTGGACCGGAAGCTGCCTTGCAGCCTTGGGGTGGGGGACAGGATGTTACGGGACATGCTAATGTTCCACATGTGTCAGCATCTCCTCCTGTACAATGCAAGTCGCTAGCGTCCCAGGCTCCTCTTACCTCAGTGACAGGATTTTCAGGCGCGACGTTGTACTGGGACTTATGGCACCTACAGGTGCGGAGGTTGAGCAAGTGTTCAGTCATGAGGACCATGGTGATGACGGTAGAGACACACAGGGTTTGGAGGCGGACGGTGCAAACATCGAGGAGCCACAGAGGGTGCCCATTCACGTTCAGCCCATCGAGCGAGTATTTCGTGTTGGAGACTCGAGACTTGGCGACGAGGAGGAGTCGCGAGGGCACGGAGAGCAGGGCGAGCCACGAGGAGATCTTCACACAGTACGTCTGCTCTCCGACACGCAGGTGGTAGCTGGACACGAGGAGGAGAGGGCAAGACGCGAGGATCCATTGCCCAACACCCCTACTGGCCGCGATGGATGTATTGGTGTTCGTCACCCATCGACGCCAACTTATACCCCTATCTGCCCTATATATTCAGGATCCCCTGGGAGTTTGGAGCGTGCGGAGGCGGAGTCGGCGAGGATTAAAGATGAGCGATAGGCTGCTCACAGTCATATGAGTCCACCCGCGTTGTGCACGCTCAACGCACAGAGCGTTGCCCAGCATCCGACACCGGGGAGTGGTGTTGGGAGAGGACACTTGCCTGCCTTGTTGGCACCTTCACGGCAAGATATTTGGGAATCAGACCACCGTCCTTGGTGGTCTGTGCGAAAAGTGGATGGGAAGCTTAGGAGAGAGGTTGCTGCGGCTGAGGCACAATGCCGAGAGGAGAGACAGAGGGCAGAGAGAGAGGCACAAGACAGAGTGACACAGAAGAGAGCTCTGGCAGGGAGAGAGGGAGAGGAGGGAGGACGGGCCGAGGGTGACAGCGGGGGCAGCGGGGGCCGACCCAGTATAGACACCGCTTGTCGTATTTTAGGAGTGAGACTTCCCCAGAGGATGCAAGATCTGCGCATAGCAGCCGCCCCAGAGGCGGGAGTGCAGAGTGGTGCGTACACCTCTGGCGAGGAGGCTTTGCCTATGCGCGCGGGCGAGAGACGACATGAGTCATTGACGGAGATAGACACTCGTATAGCAGCCCATGATGCGGAGATTGCAGCGTTGAGAGAGGGTTCAACATTGGCGAGTATTGCGGATGCTACACGAGACAATGACACGGACACCGAGGAGGAGCCTATTGACGTGGTGAGGCGGAGAGAGAGAGAGAGGAGCGACTTCTTCGACACGATCGACCACTCATGGTCCTCGATCGACGGGGTGCGGTGGCGGCCGTGGTGACGGCGAAATGTAGGAACAGGTCGCCTTGCACTGTTGTATGCATGTTTGTAGTTTACTTGATTGTCCTTAGGTTAGTTTGTAGTCTTCATTATGTAATGTGTAGAAAGATCGGCGTAGGTTCAGTTTATTAGAGACACTCGGAGTTGATTCGTAGCCTGGTAGCAACGGCCTCGGTCGTTGACATATAGACGACGATGTTTGATATTTGTACACACTCCTTGCTTATTTTGTATGTCATAGCAGTCTTGTAGTTTGGTATTGTTTTTTTTTAGCATTTATTGATCCGGTTTCCCCATACACAGGCTTTATATTTTTTTTGTATCAAGCGGTCATTATTAGTTCTCGTTCGAGCAAACGTGTGTGTTGTTTATAGTTCTTACACGTTGTTTGGACGGACACGCTTCTACTTCAGCATGTGCATGTTTAATCTCTGACTTATCGAGATTCGGATTGTGTTAGTCATGTGATATCGCACGTGTGGTGATGAAAACATTTGTGGACTTTGCTTTACATGTATCATGATGTATGGTAACAATGTGTGGACTGTGTTTTTCATGTTTGATATTAACATGTACTAGTTACAAACATTTTGCACCTGTGGATGTCCAAATCAAGCATACAAAATTCCCATTTTATTCACCCCCATAGGGCCCCTACACCCCTAGCCCAATGAAGCATACAATGTCGCCCGCTTGCAAAAAGAAATGAATAAACTTGAGAGGAGAGAGAGGGTAAAAAGAAGAAGAAAAAGCAAGAAAGAAGAAAATTAAGAAAGAAAAAAAGATGATACGCGCACATACATATACCAATTATAAAATTATTCTTATTCGGCAAACGGTCTCCTCCTCCATATCTCCTCCTGTCTTATTCATACCTTGATATACAATAATTAACAACACGATGTTGAATGGCTGAACAAAAATCGATGTTTGAATCCCTCTTCCAGGCATCACTTGAGGTCCATTATAGCCATGGCCACCTCTCCCACTCTTTGCCCACCAAAGTTGCACACCGACAATGAGTCTGGGCTCTTCGCTAGTCGGGGTGGTTTGGTTGGTTGTTGGGGGGGGGGGGTTGAGGGTGAAAACGGCGGGTAGGGGGTGAAAACGGTGGGTTGGGGGTCAAACACGTGGGTCCGGGGTCAAAACGGTGGGTTGGGATCAAAACGGTGGTATGGGGGTCAGAACGGTTGACAACCCCCAACCCCACATTTTTTAAAACAACCCCCCTCACACATTGAATATCACCAGGCAGGGTGGTTCGGTTGGTTGTTGGGGGGTTGGGGGTCAGAAAGATGGGTTGGGGGTCAAAAAGGTGGGTCGGGGTTGAAGACGGTGGGCGGGGGGTTGGGAGTGAAAATGGTGGGTTGGGGGTCAAAACGGAGGCATGGTGGTCAGAACGGTTGACAACACCAAAACCCACATTTTTTAAAACCACCCCCCTACATGCTGAATATCAACAGGCGGGGTGGTTTGGTTCGTTGTTGGGGGTATGGGGGTGAAAACAGTGGGTTGGGGGTCAAAACAGTGGGTCGGGGGTCAAAACGGTGTGTCGGGGTCAAAACGATGGGTGGGGGGTTGGTGGTGAAAACGGTGGGCTGGGGGTCAAAACAGTGGCTTGGGAGTCAGAATGGTTGTCAATGACAACCCCCAACCTGACACCCACCCCCACCCCCAACCCCC